TTCTCCTCTCGCCCCCCCCCTTTTTTTTTTTAATCAAGATATTTTTATTTTATTTAATAATTAGTATCTGTCAATCTGATTTGCTAAAGCAATAAAAATAACACTTAGCAATTTAAAAGTCTTGAATTCTAGTTTACTAAAATATCTGAAAGACAAAAAATATTTTCAACTTATACAATGAATTGCACAGACTTTTTTTTCACATTATAGAAACCAAGATCTTACACAGACTCACACTGGCTGTCTCAGTTTCAGACATAGTCACAGTGAACACAGAACACAAGAATCATATTTTAAATGTCAAAGACTGGGAAAACAGAGCACTGCAGGGCGGGGAAAGCCGCACCTTGCAAGGAATGTTTACTTTTAACTGATAGGTCTTGAGGACCCGCAAGCAGTTCTTGCTTTTGTCGTTCTAGGGCTGGCTGTTCTTTTAATAGAGCCACTTCATTTCTTAATTGGGTAACAAGGGGGAGAAGTGGGGAATGCCTCGAGGGCAGGTAAAACTAATGGGAGAGGGTAAGGAGGAGGCAGAGAGTGCGCCTCAGAAGGAGCCGTGGGCGCAGTGCCAGACTGGGGTGTCGTGACATTAGCGCTGACTTTAGAGTTAGGCCTGATTTAACATGTTTAGGATTTGAAATCTTAGAACATGTCTCGGGTGACGTTTCCTCGTCACTGTCAAGGGAGATGAGATCTATCTCCTTAGGGGCAATTATTTTATCACCGGGAGGCTCCTGAGGAGTGCCTTGTGGAAGGCCTGAAGTTTGCTTTATGGCAGCCTCGGTGGAGGATTCATTTGAATCTATTAATTCCCTGATTAGGTTCCAGTAGGAAAAGGCTGTAACAGGAATTTTCTCGGGTCCAAAGACCTTATAGTAATCCTCTAAAGCATTTTTTACCCTTTTCCATCCTTTAATATCTATTATTCCTTCTTGGGGAAACCAAGGACAGGTTTCCTTAATAAATTCAAAGAATCTCAATAGATCCTCTATTTTAACCTTTACTCCTCGCATCCATAAGGCATCCTGCAATTGCCTAACATAAATTTCGTGCCTGCTTAATTCTTGTCCCATAATCAGACGTCGGTACTTACTTCTGGTTGTAGCCGAGGCAGGTTCCCGTGGCGAGTCCAGAGTGAAGAATTCTTGTGGAACGCGTTCCTTTGGGAACGTCTTCTTCCCTCACTGGATCCTCCGTATCCAGCCCTCACTAACTTGCTATATAGAATTGTGGTGTTACTATGGAATTTACTCTGTGATCAATTGGTGTGGTGTTATTATGATAATTGTTCTGTTAATAGAATTGCTCTGCCTCAATGGATTTGTCCCTGCCAAGTTTCCCCTTTTCCCTCTCTATGAAAACTGTTCCTTCTCCATCAGTAAATGAGACTTGATCAGAAAGCCTGTCTTGTCTCCATTCTTCGCATCTCTTGTCCCTTTCCATCCCCCTTTCCTCCCTCCAGAAACCCACGCTGACTGTCTCGCGGGTCGGGACAAATTATAAGGTTACACCTGCATGATTACAAAGTAGTACAGAAAGTTTCTTAGGCAGTTCCATGAGAAATGAAGGAGTCTCTCAAGCGGTAAGTGCCCGAGTTAGAATAACATGTTTGTGAGGCTTTCAAGTATAGTCATCTGGTTAATCTCAAACCAGGTCAGCCTTGATGTCTGAAAAACAGCTTTGCCAGGAATCAGGTCTTGCTATTTCCTGGGGTGGGGGCCTACGGCTCTCCACATTGGGTCACACTTTTTGTTCATTTGTTTAAATATTTATTTCATTTCTAACAAGAAGGTTATTTGGTTTATTTACTTATATATTCATATGTGTATTTAAAATGCATTGATGTTTTGCCTAAAGTACTTGAATAAAACAAACGTTAAGGAAAGGGATTGAATTGAATAGTCTTAGTCCTTTGAGAAGTCCTTCGATTCGTCAGCATTCTGAACTTTATCTAATGGATAGGCTTAGCCATTTATATCAGTTACTTCATCTGTGTTATAGTTTCCTTGTTGGTAAAATAACTATGAATAATTCCTACTGAGTGTTGTGGAAAGGATGCAGTGGAAGAGCACTGGGCCAATGATTGCTCTGGGATGTTTTCCTGGGTCTCCTCTTCATTTTCAGATTAGCGGGTTTCTCATAGAGAAGTTTGGTAGAGGTATAAAGAAGGATTTCACTTAAAAGAAATACAAAAATGATCCTGGTCATCTTGATTTATAAGAGATGATGATGGAAAGAAATGATTGTTTGGGTAGTGGGAGCACAGATGTGGACATAAGCAGGGCCTGAGTAGAGGGATCAAAAGTCAAAAAACTTGAGTGAAAAAATAACTTTTCTGACAAGCTGGGGCCTTTGTGAAAAGATCAGTTACAGGACATGAGAATGGGACACACCTGTGGGGATGTGGAAGGGATTTGGGTGAGCAGGAGATAGAAACTGAGAAGGGAAATCTATCAACACTGAATAACTGTAAAGACACCTTTTTCAGAACAATTCTGAGCTTTAAAGCTATATGCCTTTTGAAGAAAGAAATGTTTTCTTGTGTCTTGCTGAGAGTGCTGAGTTGAGTAACAACCTAACCATGTGACTTTGTGCTGGGATGTTGATGCTGCATCTGCATATTTAAAATTCATATCCACTGCAGTGACAAGTCACTGAACAACGGAGATGGGAGGACAGATTTCCGTTAAAGCTCAGCCAAAAACACTTGAAGCAGCTTTGACAAAATAATGCCACAGTGAATAAATCCAGAGCGCTCCTGAGTATCCTTGAAAAGTTCTTCCTGATGATAGTTTTAGACAAAGTTACTTGGTATAGACTTCTAATAAGTCACGAGTACAACAGTTTCACTTTGAGGTAGGTATTACTACTTCTCATTTGGAATCTGCTGAGTTAATTGTGCCACCTAGATACATGCTAGGCATACTTTTGCTGGTCAGTTGGAGCACCATGATGCTCTCCTAATGCAGCTTAATGCCATGAAATTATGCACATTCTTGGTGGAATTAAATGGTTCTTGAAGTAAAATAACTATGTACTTATATGTTTTAAGTTAGCTCAAAAATAAAAATTCTAAATTTTAGGAGCTAGATTTAAGTGACTTCCGTTTACAAACAAATTATTTATGAATATTGGACTGTGACATCCAATTACTGTCATTACTGAGATCCCTGGGGAAATTTAAAGCTGACTTTTTGTGGTAGGAATGAACAGTGTTAGTGGACCACAGTCTTTCCTGTTCTCTTAACTTTCCACTAGCAGATACAGTGTCTGGGCAGCCATTTTGGGGTCTTTGTCAATATACTTGAGAGGTCGATGGCCTATCCCACATGACAACTTTGAAATTCAGCCATTTTATTAATTTGTAGGCACTTTCCCTTCCCTTCTTTCTTTTTATCCGGGTCAGTCCTCTGTCTTTTGTCAGCTTGGTGCATTCCCTTCTCCAGTAAGTTCTGTTTTATTGTGGATGTGTATTATAGTAGAAATTTGGCTTTCTACAAAGCAAAGTGTCATTGATGGCATGATGTAAAGGTTTTTAGTTTAAATGGCATGAGTAGGTATATGGGCAGAGATTATTTGTTTTTATAAATGTAATTGCAGCTCTCCATTGGAATAGTCAGTTATTTGGTATTACATTTTAAGTATTCTATTCTTTAGAATGTTGCATGAAGATCACTACTATCTAAATTGATATTCTTTATTCAAAATATCTTTGTATATATGTGTTATGTGTGTGAACATATATTTGTGTATGTGCATGATGTGTATGCCTTTGCCTGTGTTTGTATGTGGAGACTAGAGGTCAACATTGAATGTCTTCCTCAAATACTGTCCACCTTAGTTTTTGAGACAGGCTTTCTTGCTGAACCACAATTCAGCTAGGGTGGCTGGCCAGTGAGTTCGACGGACCTGTCAGTATTGGCTTATACCCCAGTGCTGGGGTTACAGATGCTTTCTGCTCTGCCCACCTTTTAAAATCTAGGCAGTAGGGATCCAAACTTGTGTCTTCATGCATGTGTGGCAGGTACTTTACCACCTGAGCCATCTCCTCAGATCCTATTTAAAATATTTTGTGTGTGTGTGTGTATTCTTTTTATTTATTGATTTTTTTGTATATTTTAAAAAAGATATAGTTAATGTGGCAAAAGCTACTCTTTTAAAAAAACAAAGCAGGATTTTGTAGTTAGGACAGAAAGCAGAAATGTGAAGCAGGACTATTTACTGAATTTTTTTCTTGGTATCTTTCAGAGGCTTTTATGTGCTCATGAGGTCTCTTTAATGAATGAGACCCTTATTAGTGTCCAGCTAGGTGGACATAAACTTGTAGGTGATGCTTCTAAAGGCTTTTGGTTTTATAACATAGTAAAAATTAAAGGAAGTTGTCACATTTAAACTTTTGTCTGCTATGAGGAATTTGAACAGGGCAGCAAGATGAAGGAACTTTTCCATAGAGGGAAGAATCTACATGGCAGAAGGGCAACTAGTCATTAGGGACCTACAAGCACTTTCAGTGTTCCTTTGATTTAGTGAAGTAAACATTAAGGATTGTCTTAGCCTGTTTTTTTGTTGCTGTAACAATTCCACACACGAAGTGATTTATAATGACATTTGTTTCTCATAGCTCTGGAGTTTGGGGTTAGAGATCAAGGTCCTAGAATGAGGCCCTCCATTACATCATCTCATGGCAGAAGAGAGAGAGTTTCTGAGCTTATCCTTCCACTCCCTCTCTTATGTTCCAGATGCAGAACCCTCCTGACCTAACATTTCTTTAGTGCCCACTCCTTAGAACTGTCAGATGGCAGTTAAATTTCTGTATTAATGTTGGAATGAATATTCAATCTGCAGCAGCCTCTCAACAAGTTTTCTCAGTTGGTCTTGCTGCTGTGTGCAGGTGATGGAAAGGAATCATGGATGTCAGTAGGAACATGGGGAGCCTGTTGAGGGAACACAAGTGTACATTTGCTGACTTGTGCTTTGTTGGTGTGCTCTTTCCAGATCTGTGAGAAGTTTCTACAATGATCTGTTCAGCCCTCATCAGAGTTGCCCATGAGGGCCTCTGCCTGGTGAGGAAGGCCACTCATGTCTGCAGATTCCATCAGCACCGGGCCTGGGGCTCAAAGCCTGTTGCATCAGAGTTTGCTGCCCGAGGAGCTCCAGGCATTGTGGTGGAGCTCTTGGGCAAATCCTACCCTCAGGACGATCACACCAACCTGACTCAGAAGGTCCTCTCCAAGGTCGGCAGAAATCTACACAACCAGGAGCAGCACCCTCTGTGGCTGATCAAGGAGCGGGTGAAGGAGCACTTCTACAGCCACTATGTGGGCCGCTCTGGGACCCCACTGTTCTCTGTCTATGACCAGCTTTCTCCAGTGGTCACCACCTGGCAGAACTTTGATAGTCTTCTCATCCCTGGTGATCACCCCAGCAGGAAGAAGGGGGACAACTATTACCTGAATCGGACACACATGCTGAGAGCACACACATCTGCACACCAGTGGGACTTACTGCATGCGGGGCTGGATGCCTTCCTGGTGGTCGGTGATGTCTACCGGCGTGACCAGATTGATTCTCAGCACTACCCAGTTTTCCATCAGCTGGAGGGCGTCCGGCTCTTCTCCAAGCATGAGGTGAGTCTTAAGATGTTTCTCAGCTGCCAGAGACTAATGAACTACTTCTGTGCCACAGGACACTGCAGGTGTGTTGGCTTGGCCCCTGGACTGTGTTTTTGTCCCTAAGCTCCCTCCTCCCTTGCTTTGTATTCAGGTGGGGGAAGTCTAATTGCTGGAGTTCATGTGTATATTTGGATGCATGTGTTTTATCAGAAGTCTCATATTCAGGCCATCCTCAAAAGCTTCTAACTTCTTAAATCTGTTAGATGCTATCCTAGTATATTGTGTGAATATATATTTTTCTTTTTCAAATTATGAAATTCCTTCAAAATGTGTGAATCCATTTCCTAAAAAATCCTAATAATGTGGTTGCCCAAGCCAGTAATTCCAGCATTTGGGAGGCTAAGGCAGGAGAGGGGCTGTGAGTTCAAGACTATTTGTATAGTCTGTAGATAAATACATAAATAAAACTTAAAGAATAAATAAGATTGTAGCAATAGTTTTCCTACATTCAAATATCTTAAAGATCATCTCCATCTTTTAATAGTAGGAGATAAGTGGGATTTTGGTAAGCTCAAATATTTCTTTTATGTCTATAGCAGTTCTTCCAAATATTGTTCATTAGAGCAGGGGGAATTATAATGATGACAGAATTTCCTCTTGTAAATACAGCTACATGGGCTGTTAATGTGAAAAATAGCATAGTGTGCTTAGAGTAACAGCTAGCCATTGGTTTTTGTTCCAGACAAGCTGTTCAACAGGAGACAGCTCAAGAGGACCATCCCCTCCTTCTCTCCTTTCTGCCTACGCGAGATTGCTGCTGTCCTTTCTATGTGTGATGATGTAGCAATAGGTTAACCTTCTTCAAAAAGGCCTTGAGAGCTGGATCTCAGGGGAGCTTAGGTGGACATTCCTACTACTTGAAACAGCTGACTGCTTTTCAAGCTAGAAATAATCACCACTTTTGTCCAGGTCATAGCATTGGACAGGTGTTCCATCTAGCTTACCTTGTTAAAGCAATACAGAAGGAATGCCCAGCACTGATGTGTAAGCCTGAATGTCATGGTAGAGGCACTGAAGGCAGAGCATTTTAATGGAAGGAAATCAAAGCTACCAAAGGAAGTAAAAAAACAAAACAGTATACAGGGAATTGCCTCTTACCATTGTTTATATTTATATGTGATCTAGTCCATGTTTGCAGGCAACATGCATTGCTAATTTAGTCGATACTGTGACTTTTCTGATTTATTGTTTAATAAATTGTGTACCTGTGAATCCAACTTTCTTAGAATTTGACGAGTGCTTCCATTTTCATTGTTGCATTTACTCTCAATAAAAACTTAGGAGGTAGATTATCTCACTTCCGCCTGAAGTGTCTGAGGTCTAGGAAGGTCTAGTTACTTGTTCAAGGTTGTACAACCAGTCAGTGGTAGAGCTCAACTGAAAGACAGGCCTCCTGAGTTCATTGTTTCATCTACTACATTCTCCTGTTATGACTGGAGAGAAGTTCCTTACAAGAGTGGTGAATGGGGAGAGAGGGGGTAGTTTCTGAATTTCTTTCTTCAGCTGAAGTGTTGGTACTAAATTTCATCTAATCTTAGCCATGGAGAAAATGTTTTCCCCTTTTTGGTTATTTTTCCCCCTAGAAATAAGATTGTTTTTAGATAAGTATACACATGTAATTAAAATATATTATTTCGTTTTCTTCTTATTTAATAATCCTTGTATTTCAGTAAGAATAAAAGTGATTAGAATTATGTAGTTAAAGAAACAGTGATGCTGCTGGTGGTGGGCATGCATGTAATCCTAGCACTTGAAAAGCTGATGCAGGAGGATCTCAAGTTTGAGGCCAGCCTGTTCTACTTAGTGAGTCCCTGTGTCAGGAAGAAAAAGGAGAGAGAGAAATAATGATAATCACAGAGATGAATGAATAATGAAGTATATTAACTGAACTTCTAATTATAGGAAAAGCCCTTTGTTCTTTGGATGAGACAAATGAAAACAATGCCGGGCGTGGTGGTGCATGCCTTTAATCCCAGCACTGGGGAGGCAGAAGCAGGCAGATCTCTGTGAGTTCAAGGCCAGCCTGGTCTACATAGTGAGTTTCAGGACAGCTGGGGCTACAGGGAGACCCTGTCTCAAAAAGACCAAAAAAAAAAAAAAAGTTATGTGGAATAACTGATAGGTAAAATCTGCTAAGGATCTTATGTCTAGGGAAAGGACAGAAACACTGAGTAATTCACACTTTATTGAAACAAGATTGCAGGATAATCTATACCTTCAAAATAAATGGAGGGGAAAAGAGGAATGTAGAAAAAGGAATGGGGAAGATGATCTCAGTTCAACAGACTTCAGGTTAAAGAAAAGAGAGCCCAGGGGCTGGAGAGATGGCTCAGCAGTTAAGAGCACTGGCTGCTCTTGCAGAGGACTCTGGTTCAATTCCCAGCACCCACATGTTGGCTAACAACCATTTAACTCCAGTTCCAGGGGATCCAGTGCCCTCTTCTGCCCTCTGTGGGCATTACATGACATGGGTGCACACCCACCCCCTTTCTACTTCCTGTTCAGAATAATGTGGCCTGTTTCAGCATCTTAAAATGAACACTGAATTTATTAATTTGCCTATAGACACATAAATAAATACAACATACAGAATTCTTACCTATAAATCAAGCTTGTTAATCATATTTTCTGGCTTCCTATATTTTATTTACCTTATCTGGACTGGTTTCTGATTGAAATCAATTAAAGTCTTGACCATGATCATGAATTTGTCAAACTCAGCTTCTGAGTCTGCAGTTTTGCTTCATACCTCAAGGTTATAATAGCAGACAGATAAAAGTTTGTAATTCAGAAGACTTCTTTGTTGGTCTGTTGCATCCTTTATTTCTGTTAATCATTTTGTCTATAAATTCAATTTTTTCTTTATCTTTTTAAGCCAGGGTCTCCCTGTAGCCCCAGCTAGCTTAGAACTCACTGTGTAGACCAGGCTGGCCTCAGTCTCACAGAGATCCACCTGCATCTGCCACAAGCATGTGGGGATTAAAGGCATGTGCCACCATGCCCAACAAATGTTTCCCAATGTTAATATTGCCATACCAGCTACCTCTCGGGAAGTAGTTGCTAGGTAAGTCTTCTTCCTGTCCTTCATCTCAACCTCTGGTGTGATTGGTTTCAGGTTCTCTAACTGTCCAATCTGATCAAGAGGATAATTCTCCCAATATTAATCTAAGTGTTATATAAATCTGGACAGAATTTTTGCTGGGTATTGGAAAAAATTGAAGGATTGGTCTTAAAATTCAAAGGCACAGCTTCAAGTGTAAAGGACTTACTAAATGTTAAGATGTACAGTTTTATAGTGTAAAGCTGATATAGCAGTGGCACAAAGCTAACGAAATATAGAATTTTCACACAGTTATACTCACTTATGAACTTACAAAGTAGAAGTGACATTATGTGAATGGGGAGATAATAGACTATATTAATTGTTCTGAGGTAGTTATCTGTGGGGAAAATGATCCCATCCCACCACATGCAAAATTTATTTCTGTGTGAATCAATCCATTTGTGAAAAGAAAGCCTTTAAACACTTTGGAAGAAAATATAGGCGATTATTAGTCTCTGTGGTAGAATATCGTAGCTGAAACGTGAGATTCTTTGAAGAAGGAAAATTCCTGGAAGGAAAAAAGTGTTAATATTGACTCCATCAAGGGAAAACTTGGGAAATTAAAGCTTCCATAAGTGAAAGTAAAGGACAGGATCAAATAAATAAAGACAAGCTTTGTTTGATTATAGATATTTGCTTTTTGTCTAGTTTATAGAAATTGGTATTGATCATATTAAAAGATCTCAGTATGAAAAAAAAAGTGTCCTTTATGAAAATGCCTGATAACACCGAATAGTGTTTAATGTGTGGACCATGGATTTGTAAGTGCAAAAGTGTGAAAACCCACACCTGAAATCCTGCTTTCCTGTGCACACCTGGAGACATTCTTGAGTGTGTTGCTTCTACCAGGAAGCAGATAAGAGTTTTTGTAAAACTATTAGAATCCATTGAAAACTGGAGCAATCCAAATTTCTACCAAGAACAGTAACAGAGAAATAAATACTGATGTGTTTGTATGATTGTTTTCAATTTTGTGGACCTGTAGAAATGAGTGCATGACACGTCTGCATCTGCATGATTGAATATGAAAAACAGCGCTGGGCAGTGAGATAGTTACAGAAGCTTATGTTCTGTCATTATAACTGTGTAAAGTTGAAAAGTTGAGCATCGTTAGCCAACATATTATTTAGAGGTTCATGTGTATTTTAAATAGTTGTTAACCAAAGCATACAGTTGTTTCCTCTCTGAGAAATAACACAGTCTGATCAGATTTGGGCATGAAGGGTTTCTGAGTTTTCCATCATACTGTTCGTTGTGAAAATGGGTATGGATAATGAGCACATACGTATGCTTTCCTTCTTGACCATGGCTTATTTATATACTTTCATATGCATGATTTTCTGTGATCTAAAAAGATAAAATGGTGAGCATCATAATGACCTCTTGATAGAAGAACATTATACATGATTGGTTAATGACCACATCCTATTAACATTTAATAATCCTGGTGATCCTATATGGTGGGAGAAAGCATAAGTTTGACAGTCTTCTTTTGGGAGAACATAGTCGCCCCAGTTTGCAGAGTAGTTTGGTAGTTTTCAGTGAAAAAAAAAATTATATGTGCTTTGATTTACCTTTTTATTTTTCTTTAAAATTAGACTAAAAATTCATCAGTAAAAGAGCACAAATAAAATGGACTTTAGATGTAAACTGAATACTGTATAGCTGTTCACATAAACTGGGTACATATGTCCATAGTGATGAAGTTTTAATACAAATATGTTGTTGAAGGATTGGAACAAATCAAGATACACTAAAATGTTACCTGTTTTATAGACATTCACAATATACCCATCAATGTATGTTGTCATGTACTGGCTCTTACTGTACACAGAGTCAATTTTTAATTAAG